CCAATAGCTCTGGGCCTCTCGAAGAAAGGAATGAGCAATTTTACTAATAGTGTACCAGGTAACATCAACATACAAGTTGCCCAGAACATATACTAAGAATGGTACTCTAAATTAAATGACAATTATCATATAGTACCTAAGGACCATAGTTTGGACCCAGCTCTACAGAATACAAAGCAGGAAACAAAACACACAAACAATAATAGTTTTTGTTGTCAGAATCTATCTAACACATTAATAAGTCTACTATTCGTCCATGCATTGAATATTGCTGTCATAACTGGTCTGGTGTTTCTGCTATATATTCTGAGATGCTTGATGAAAGCCAAAGAAAGATCTGCTGTGTTATTTGTCCTCACCTGGCGTCTTAGCTTCAGTCATCCCCCCCCCCGTTCCTTTTTCTATAAATATTTTCATGGTCATTTTTTTTGATGAGCTTTCCTCTTTGATGGCTTGGAATTATGAAATTAAACACAGTGCTAGATTGGTGGAATGGCATCATCAACTTATAGATGAAATCTTTAGATGTAATTGTGAATTCTGGGCTAACAGCCTCTTCTCTCGCACTGCTCGGTTGTAGAACTCTCTTGCAGTTTCTTGCCTTCCAGTTAAGTTTTATCTTCAAAAATTTAAAAAATTTTGAAGATTAAACAATATCAATCGTTATCTTTGGTCTTCTTAATTCTTATTCTTTTATTGCTTGCTCTCTCTCTCTCTCTCTCTTTCTCTCTCTCTCTCACTCCTTAATACTGTTTTTCTGATATTCTCTATCACTCCTTGCGTATTAATAGCTTTATTGCTTTGCTTCGTGTGAAAAAATTAAAAAGAAATAACAAGGTCTCTCCTAATGGAGATTTATATGAATATTTTTTACTCGAGATTTTGCGATATGGAAATGCCTGATAACAATTAAATGAATACCGCCCTAAGGTTGCCCCTCCTATATAGAATTTCATGGTAATTGTCCGGATGATTTCTTCGTTATAGTACCTAGACCTTTCGATTTTAAGTGCAGTACTAGACTGGCGATGATGTCTCATCAATTTACACTTGAGCTGGCTAGATGGAACCGTAAATTCTATACTAAGAATTTCTTTTTTCACACAACTTTCTTGTGGAAACCCATTCCGATTCCATGCTTTCCAGCCAACATTAATCTGCAAAATCTTAAATTCAATCCCAATCGCTTTCGACTGATTATTTATTTTTTTTATCTCTCCAAACTTTATTAATAGCTCTGTTCCTAATTCATCAATACCCTGTATCCCCTAGTGTCTTAGTGACGTTATTGCCTTGCTTAGGCTGATAGCGATAAAAAAAATATTAAAAAGTAATATGAGGATGAGGATATTAGTAAAATGATGGAAACTTGTGGTACACATCTATTTTGTTTGAAGTTTTGATTATTTAAAATACAATGCGTCAATATTATTTAGAAATGTAATAAACGCTTAACGTTTGCTCTTTACTCGGGCTTCCTCTCAAAATTATTTTGTTTCTAAATACAATACTTTTTTTTATAAGTTTATCAAATGATTGTGCCAGGGAGGAATATAGCTTCTCTGTGTGTATTATTAATATAGGGGAGATGAAAATTATTATCCAAAATGGGATTTTTCATACTTTGATGTCTTTTGTAAAATTCATACGCTGAACCAAGACACTGGTTGGCAAAGAATCTCGCCGAATTCGGTGGCTACAGATTTAAGTTCTGAACATGATTAATTGGATTTTAAAATATCCCTTAAGTCTGACAGTTGAGCACGCGAAAGGAAAGAAGACAATGCATTACGTAAACAGAACGGAATTTTTTTTTTAAAAAAAAGCGGTAAACTATTAAAGTCATTGAACGTAAAACCCCATGAAAACCTAATGCACCATCGAATGCTGCTAGAAATAACAGTGATGCAATTCTTAAATGTAGAGATTGGTGGTTTTGACAAGCTGGTTGTGAAAAAAAAAAAAACGTAATTATAAAATAGAAAAAAAAAACAAAGAAATATTTCAAGTGGTAATGTTTTCATTCTCTCATTCGAGAGAAGTATTCTTTCGGACTTAGCGAAGCGGATGTATTGATTCAAAGCAAGACACATTTGTCCATTGATGCATCAATTGATTTGAAACTAAAAGGAGAAAGAAAGAGAAAGAGCGAGGTGGGGGCGAAAAAAAAACAAAGGAAAGGAAGAATCATTTTTAAAAATCAGGGATGGGAGACGACAATGGGAATGGCGAGGAAGTTTCACCTGAAAATATGAAGGATGAAAAGTATAAAGAGAAAGAAGAAATAAATAAAGAAGAACCAGGTGAAGAAAATATGAAAGAAGCTTTTGAACAATGAAAACGAAAGGAAAATCTGGACAAGAAAAAGAGATAAAGAATAGGAACAACAAAAAATTAAGGAGTCATAAAGAAAAAAAAAGGAGAGAGAGAGAGAGAGGGGGGGAAATAGTTTATTAGAAGACTATCAAAAAGTAATTAAAATTAAAGAAATTAAATTAAATCGAAATGTTTGAGAAAGAAAATAATCTATAGAACTAAATGAAATGTTTAGATATAATTAATATATTAAGAAAGGGAAAATATCAAATACAAAAAATAATGTCTGAAAATAGAAAAGAAAGAAAGATAGAGAATAAGTCATTACAAAGAAGAAAAGAAAATGTTTAATTATAGAAGAAGGGGAAAACAAAATTTGTTTGAACGATTGTAAAAAAAAAAGAACCCAAGAAAAAAATATGAAGTTGTAAATTGTTGGAATAATTTTGGGTGATGCCAAATAAAGGAATTAAATTTTATCAAGAGATAACAAGTAAAATAAGTCAGGAAATTTGGAAGAGAGTGAAAAAAGAAATCGATTAAAGTAAAATGGACGATTATTTAAAACGTTCTTAGGAATGAGATTCAATGGTACGGTTGAGAAAAAATTGAATTTTCGTTGACTATGACAAAGCAAGCAAATCAGATAAAGAAATAAAGAAATCGAATATTTGAGGAGGGGGGAATAAAATAAGAAAAAAAATATAAAAGTGAAGATTAAACAAAAAAGATGACGTCGTTGTTAAAATAGAAGTAAAATTATCACAAAGAAAATAAATGATAAAGGATGAAGAAATTTGTAATGATTTAAAAAAAACAAAAAAAAAACATGTCACAACCGGAGTTAGACGATTTTTCCTTTCCAAATTCCTTTTCTTTATTTACCTGTCAATTGTCATGCCTTATTTGTAAAAACAGTGGAGTGGTTTCCTGTTGCTATTTAACTCATAGATGAAATGGATATATGATTTTCAGGGGTATTTGTGCAACGCAAAAGAGTTAGCCGGTATTCGAACTCGGTTCGTCGATTCCGCACCGATTCGTATATTCAATATGTCGAAATAAAGGACATAAAAAAGCTAAAGTGGACATTTTTTGATAGAAATAATGATAGAGCATATATTTTATTAGAATAACAAATGAAAAAGAAAGAAAATTAGAAAGACGTGAATACTTTACTAATATTAAGACGAGAGAAAAAAAAAAACAGGCATTGAATGAACGTAATTTGTTCGTTTTTGCTGTGAAAAGAGAAAGATTATAGACAAAATGGAGAATAGGAAGATTTGATAGGAATAAGGAAATTTGGAAAGTTGACTGGAAGTATGGAAATGAGAAACGGAAAGAAACAAACAGAAAATCTGTACGGACGGAAATCTAAAGAAGAGACCGAGAGATAAGGAAGAGAAAATGGCAACGAAAAAAAAAATAAAAAAGGTAATGGGAGTTAGACAGATTGTGGGAGGCAGTTTGTTTGTTTCTTTTTTGTTTACGTCATATCAACACATTATGGGTCATTTAATGCCAAAATCTAATTTTCTTGGGAGCTTTGCTATATTTTTTTTACTATTAAAATCTATTGCCGGTATTCTGTGGCGAAGGGTGACTTGGATCCAGGTCATATTTTATCATATATGGCCTATCGTAATATTTGATCAAATTCCGTGAAAATTTATAATTTTGACATATTTACGTCAAAATTATGAATTTTCACTTTTCCAGACAACAATCAATGCAATTTCTGACACCTGTTGGCAATGAGAAACTTATTGAAATATTTTTTTAAAATTACAAAAAAAAAAAAAAAAAAAAAAAAAAAAAAAATTTCTACGTTATGTTAAAAGGGAAACCGTTAATTCAATAAATTGTGAAGAAGATTAAAATAAAATTATTTTGTTTCGTAAAAAGCAATTTTTGCGAGGTGGGGGTCCCATTTCCTCACGCAGCTGTTGAAGTAGCAAGTATCTTGTAGTGTTGTTGAGAGGCAAACAGTAACTGGCGAAATATGACAAAATATTCGCGACTGCATCCCTTGGATCCAAGTCACCCTTCGTGGCTGCTGGTACTTTTTTACTATAAAATGTATTTTTATACTTTCATAGTGTTTTGATCCCAGTTTGAAGGATTCCTATTTGCCCATAGCAAGGACCCTAACAGATTCTACCACCCCGAGTCAGAGTGGACCTCGGAACAGAAGCAGTTTAGGGGTGGTTCCACGCTCCTCACACAACCCCCTCCTCATCAGAACCCTTGCTATCGGATGTTGTTTATCGTCATACCCAGAACGGGTGGGAGGCAGTTAAGAAAGTAACATGGAGAAGAAGTAAAAAAGAACACCGGAGCGTAAAAGAGTGCAAGTGTCGATAATGTGTTATGCAAAGAGAGAATCGCAAGGAAAATACGGTCGTACTTGGAAAAGAAAGAAGAATATGAGGAAAAAAAATGAAAAAACAAAATGTCTGAAGATGTCGAATAAAAGCGATCAGCGGAAAGATGAGGAAAGAAAAATTAAATAACGAGAGGCAAGAAAAATAAGTAGGAAAGGCGATTAAAGGAAGCACGAAGCAATTGTCATTAGTTGAGGATGTCCAGACCAATCCATAATTGCTCGGCAGCAATTGTCTTCGTTCAAAAGACGACCGCAATGGCGCCTTTCTAGAGGCATTTTGTTTTTCGTCACAGAAATGAACGAATCCGTTTTTTTGTCTCTAGCATTGTGTAACCCCCGTTTCTACCGATTTATTTGTGATTCTTTTTTCTTCTTTTCTCTATCTCTATCTTTTACTCTCTCTCTCTCTCTCTCTCTCACACCCTCACCTTCTCTGCTTTATTCTTTCTTCTTCATCATGATCATCATCATGATCATCCCCATCCTCCTCCTCATCATCATTTCTCTTATTTATTTTTTATGCATTTTTACACGTCTTATTTCTCCCTCATTGTTTCTTTTCATCTTTCGCTTTTTACTTTTCTTCTTTATTACAATGTTTTTTTTTAATAATTTTAAATACGTTTATTTCTTTCCTTCGCAGTCGTTTTACCATATTTCTTCTTGTTTGATCTTCCACTTATTTATTTATTACTTCTTCTTACCACAATGCATTCTTTTTCTACATCAATTTCCCTCTGTTTTTCGTTAATTCATATATCAACAAAAGAAAAAGAAAAGAAAATTTGTAATTTTCTTGACGTGTGCCAAATTTTACGCCAAAGATTTCCAAACAGTTTTATATTCTGTCTCATTCAGAATTGATTGATTTGTTTTTCACTTTTCCTTTCAGGTTATTTAAAGCCATAAAATATTTTTATATTGTAAGGATTTTTGGAGATAATAAGGATTTACTGATACAAGTCCAACTAATTAACGAATAGCTAGGGGTGGGTAATGGCAGATTTATGCCTTTCCTAAGAGCATTAGCGCATAACTGAAAATAATGAACCTGACTGCAATTTGAACTTTGCAGTCTGATTTCTAATTCCGAAGCTTTCCGATTTCCCATTACACCATCCGCGCATCCAAACTTATATCACTTGGCATTCACAAGCGGTCACCCATCTCGGTACTGACCAGGCTTGACGTAACTAATTCGTAAGCCTAATGGATACCAAAGCCAAATTTTCATTATCGATGAATAATTAAAACCATTTCAACTTGATGGGATTTTTTGACATTCTCTGTCCCTTCAGGACGTAGGCGTTCATGGTTCTCCACAGTTTCTTTTTCATTATCTGTGAATTTCCATGCATTCCTGAGAAAGCTAATGTAGTGATTCCCTGTTTAACCCTTAACTGTTTGTAAAATCACAGATTTCCTTCTCTTAGACAGGTTGCCGCATACACTATATATAGGCAAGGTATTTGGAACGAACCTCTGTATTTAATAATTAGTAAATTCATACATTTTTTGTTGTAATTAACTCCAACTATTCTAGTATTCTGAAACTATTGAATTTATTAATCCATGGCGTCAGTTATTTTAGAACAGTGTTTACGTAAAATTTACAATCCGCTGACCCTAATTTTTGGTTGGTTGATTTTGTGTAGTGGCATATCAACCTCGGTATTTCATGCCGAGATCTAGATATTTTGAACAGAATTCTATGTCTTCAACTACATATAAAATGTATTGTTTGTTATTTTACTATAAAATTGTATTGTTGGTAATTCTATTGTTGGTCATTTGCTTTAAAATTATATTACTGGTCATTTTAATATAAATAAGTATTAGTGAGCAGTTTAAAATATAAAAATAATTGCTGGCAATTTGAATATAAAATCTATTTTCAAGCATTTATAATGTTTTGTTTTTGTTTGGGCTTTCACTATTTGACTATAGCTGCGACACTAACAGGTGCTGTCACCCCGGGACAGGGTGAACCTGGGAACAACAATTAAGAAGTGGTTCCACGCTCCTCAAAATCTCCGATATCCCAATCAAAAGCCTTGCTGCCAGATGTGTTTTATCGTTATACCCAGGAATGATCGCTAAAACTAATAGGTTAGTTTCCTTATTATTATTGTTGACTAAGTATTAAAATCATTCAGCAAGAGAAAGGACCTCTGGTCAGGAGTGAGTCACTAAATTAGTTAGGTAAAAGGCACGTAACCTCTAAATTCTAGACGATTCTTCGAAAATCAAATGGTGGTTCCAAACTTTTAGGTTTTGATGTGGATATTGAAGATTTTGAGGCGCGTGGAACCACCTCTTAATAGCTGTTGTTTCCAGTTTTAATATAAACATTTTAACCCCTAGCTGAAGTGAGAATAGATGGGTTGATACCTTACCAAAAATTATTTGTTCAAAAACGAACACATCATCATCGGCCGATTTTGAACTTGGCACGCTAGTTTTAATTTCCGCGTCGATTGCCGATGTGCTACTTGATGGGATAAATGTATTGAAAACAGGCAGGACTATTATATCGCGGAAAAATTGAACTGACACAAGTTTAAATCAAGCGCAACGTTTAGATACTCGCCTTCGTGTTTACAAGCGATTTTCTCAAATTTGTAATTGATAGAATTTCAATATCAATCACTTCGAATTCTTTATTGAATCTAAGAAACGCCAAGATGGCATTAAAATAATTATTTATTGATTCTTATTCCCTCATGAACATGAGGTGTTCGGTTTCGCTGTTCTGGATTGAGGAAAAGCTGAATTTAGATTCCAACAATAGTGGGCGTATATTCCACACAACTACAAACGTCTAACTCTTTCAAAATTTGGTTTTAATAACCTTTTGTGGATGTCGGCTCATATTTTAAACGGAATTATAATGAAAACTTACGTTCGATGATATTTAGTATTTCTTCAATAATACATCGTAGATTCACTTGGAAATATTCGAAATAATGTTCAATTCACTAGTTTTTTATGAGAATTATCTTAAAATATATTTGCAATCGGTAAACATTTTGAATTGTTTTCTTTATTTGTTATTCATTGTATATACGCGATTTTGTATAGCAGCACTTTCTCTATAATTAAGAACATAACGTAATCAAAACAGATTAAGTTGGCTGGATGTAGCCGTAAATTCTATTCTAACAGTTTCTTCTTGATTGTGGAACTCCCTTCCCTTTAATCTGTGAAAATTTAAATGCAATGTTAATCATTATATATTGACTTCTTGATTGCTTTTCTTCTATTGTTCTCGCTCCTTAATAATGTTTCTCTTTTTCTTATTCTTTCACACTAAGTAACCCCTTGTATCTTAGTGGCTATATTGCCTTGCTTGGGTGAAATGATTAAAAAATGTTCCGTTTCACTTCTCTTCATAATTTTTCTAATCACATGTGTACAATTCAATGTTTCAACGCAAACTGGCTAAACAGAATCCTTCATAAGATGCAATAACGGATCTGTGTTACGAAAAGTCAATCGCTATCTACCGTCCTCCTGATTACGCTTCTTTTTGTTCTCACTCTGTACCAATGTTTCTGTTTATAACTCTTCCACCCCCAGTAACCCCGTATGTCTTAGTGGCTTTACTGTCTTGCATGGTTTGAACTTGATTAAAAAAAGGATATGCTGCTTATAAGTTTTGTATCAAAGAAAGAAAATTAATTCTAGCTTAATTCTGTTGGTAACGCATTTATTTCTTATTGCAAACGACTCACGTTGTTCAGCCCATCCAGAAGCTGTTATACGTAATTCGATTTAACTACGTCTATGATAATTGATCTTGATGTCAATAAAAAGCTCTCACTCAAATTCACAAATTTATATGTTAGATTGAAGACGCCTTATTTCTGAAAAAATCAAAATGCAAATTACTATTTCGAGAAGATTTTTGTGACCTTTCTGATTATATTTCGGCAAAGCAATGCTGATATTTAAAATTGTACAGATTCTATTATTTTATAAATTATTTAAATTTGTCCGCTGATCTTTGCTTCTTCGAGTACGTTTTCATCCATGTAATCTTCAGGGTTTTTACAACTGTATGTTACTTCCGGTAACCCAGAGTTGTACTGAAACAACTCCCATATTCGAATGTTCAACTGAAAAATACAATTCTTGCATGTACCTAAAACCCAACAAATTTAATTTTTGTGTCCCATGTAATCAACAGATGGTAGGAATTAGAAAGAGACAAGAGATATTTCTAGTTCACATCACGAGGAAGGGGCTCAGAGAATTTAAAACTCACAAGACATAAGGAATACAAAAGAGGCCGAAGAAACAGCAATTAAGTTACCGTATTTCTTTTTACAATTATGTTCATCTTATACAAAATTCTAGAATCTCTCGAAGTAGAGGGTCACAGACTAAGAAGCACTGTTTATGCAGATATTTGTGGAAGATAGCCATAGGCATGAACAGGTTAACATTGCACTGATCGAGGAAGCAACTTCTTAGGAAAAGAATCGTTTCGTAGAAAGAAACTTACACACTACCTATGGAATACAAAGGGAATGCGGATCGTTTGCTACAGTATATATGTCATGGTAGGTCTTAGCCTTGAAGGTTAGCACTGGTGCGCTTAAGGAATGTAGTCCGTCTGAAAACTTTTCATGAAAATAGCGATACAGCAGTAAAAGACTTGCAACGATTTGTATGTGAGAAAGACGGTTGTATGCTGAAATACAATCTATCACACACAAGTACGAGGAGATGTTTTGGATTCTATCGAGACTGAGAAGTGAAAATTGGTCATGCTCCTGCATATATATAGCAGCAACACACCATTCATTTCGAACTTGATCTCGCTCTTGTAAAGGTAGAAGATAGTAAGAAGAGCCAGGTACTTATTGCGGTGGTTAAAAATTTTAACTGAATGGGTCACTGAACAAGGACAATGAAGCATGGTACAAGGGCAGAAGTTAGACAAACAAAAGACCTAAATTTCTGGTGAGACATAATTACCCACATCCCGAAAGTAGATGTCATATATAAGAAGACAAAATATGTCATCAACACTTGAATTGTTTTGCAGATAGAAAAGCTCTTACCGTTTATTATTGACTAGGCATTTGAATTTTTTGTCAATTATTCCACATTTATATTTGTCATTAAATGATGACAACCTGTTTTATAAAATAATTCCTACTAATTAACCGACTTAAATATTATATTAAAGTACAAAAGAAAAACTTAAGTGATTAAATCGTACAAAATTATGTTTATTGGATGAATTTTTTGTAACATTCTTTTTAACATTTACATTATCCTTCATAAGTTTAGAAAGATATTGATCTTTGGAGAAGAAATGTTCGAAAGCTAGTTCGGAGCCTCATTCTCTCTTTTTATCTCTCTCTCTCTCTCTCTCTCTCTCTCTCTCTCACTCGGACAGTGATTCCAATTCTCATTGAATACCATGATGGAGGATAAATGCAATGGATAAAACGTTGTAAAAATTATTATTATATAAAAAACAGAAAGTTATTGGTTCTGACGTGGCATCACAGCTTCACCTAATTTCCCATCGCCGTAATCTAGTTTCCCTGTACATTTTCTATAATTTCTTTCACGGTAATTGTTTTAATGAAATATTCCTCTATAAAGTCTAGGTACAGAGATTTTATGAATTTAAACGCAGTACTAGATTGGTAGCTAGGTCTCATCATTATAGAGTTGAAACGGCTGGACGGAACTATATGTTCTGTACTGATAGTTTATTTTCTGGCACTTCTC